CAACTTTTGCAGAAGTTTCCCAGATAGGCAGTTCTCCTACACTGCTGTTTGCATGCGTGTTCACGGCATAGCACTTTGGATTATTTAGGGCTTTTGTTTTGTTTTGCAGCAGTGACAGACTCCACTGGAAACACAATGCCTCGGCCAATCCCATGCGATGACAACCGTTTATTTGTGAGAAGATAGGTTAGAGGGATGCTGTTCTGAGTGATGGGGTATTTTTGTTTGGTGGAGTCAAAAGCCTGGTGGAGACAAACGATTTTATGCTCTTAACGCAGCCAGTTTCAGCAAAGAAGATCCTCATAAATAGCTGTGGATTATGTGTGACAGCGTTTTGTAAACTGTACAGTAAAGTGCACAGGGATGTCACAGTGTTGGGCTGATAGAGGATGGAGCTGTACCGGGCTGCTGCTGCACCTGAGGCAGGACAGTCATACCGTCTGCGAGACTCCTTCGTGGCTTGTTGTGGGCTGGACAGACTTGGGATGAGCACATAGTCTCCAAGGCTCGCTCCAAGTGAACCGTGAGCAAGGGAACATTTTTTTCCCCCTGTCGCAGATCATTCAAGGCAGAGATCTTCAAATTGAAGTTCACGGGACTTCTGGGGGACAATAAGATTCTTTTTTTTTTTATCCTCACCCCAGGATATTTTTCCATTTTTTGTACAGATAGAGTGGGAGGGAGAGAGAGGAAGGAAGGGAGAGAGAGTGAGAAACATCGACGTGAAGGGACACATTGAGTGGCTGCCACCCGCACAACCAACCAAGGCCGGGGACAAACTGCAACCAAAGTACGTGCCCTTAGCGGGAACCGAACCCCGGTCTCTCCGGACCGCAGGCCGACGCTCCAACCGCTGAGCCAAACTGGCCAGGGCACAACAAGATTCTTAAGAGTTATATAAGCAGCTTGGGAAATTTAAATAAATCCATTTCTAGATTCTCAACGGCTATGCATGTTCTTTCTTAGAATTGTTCTATCTGAGAGTGGGCGTTTGGTCCAGGTGCTCAGCTCCCCTTTCACAATGGGCCTTCCCCTCCTTTTTGAGACAGACGGACCCCTCCCCCACCCCCCTGCTCCTGCCGTCCCCAGCACCACCACTCTGCTTGGCCCAGAACTGTTTGTGGAGCCCTGTGCTGTGCGGTGGGAACGAAAGGGTGGAGAATGGAGAGCACGCTGCCTCCAGGCCACGCCCCCTGGGCCAGGCGGCTCCCTTTGCTGCCTTCACAATTGGAGGAAGACTGATCAGCTGACAGATCACTCCAAATGATTCTGGCTAATAAAGTCTATATTGCTTTTGGGATACAATTGGATGACATTTGTATAACAAATTCCTTTCATTCACAACTTCTTATTTTTGTGAATAAGTTTTACCAGAATTTACAGCTTTAAAAATTACAACGGAAGTAAGATTGTTGCTGAATCTGTCTCTTTTCAGTAAGAAATAGTATTAATCTAGGGCTAAATGGAGAAACAAACAAAAAACACCCATTCATTCATTGCCAACCACAATTCCAATAAAATTTTACATTTCATGTTTAATAATTGTGTATCAAAATGTAAATTTCTTTATGTTTTTTGATAAATTATATGCTACTAATCATCATAATGATAAGTCAATCCAAGAGGAAAACATTTTTTTTTAAGACTTAGAGATTTGTGATCATAGGGTATAAAAAAACATTTTGTTTATATACATGTTTTTGTTGCAGAGAAGTGTGGTAGGACGATTAATATGATTTTCAAGTATAAAATTACATTACCCTGGAAAGTATGTGGGGAAGGAGAATAGAAATATGAAGTCAAGAGGAAAAACAACGTAAAATTCCTGTTGTTAAAGAACTTGTGCACATACATTTTAAACTGGTCAGGTGGTGACCATCTATGGCCACGGCATTGTGACTTGTTGGCCACACCTGAAATAGTTCTGCAACAGTTTTATCTCATAGGTCGTCCTTTACAGTGCTTTGGAACTATTTAAAGAGATGGTGAAAGTTTTCAGATATTAATAAAAAGAAGAGGTGGTGTGTGCATAGGTTTTTCAGGTTCTCGTGGGGGTATGAGAACAGAAGAGTCTGAAGGCTGCTGCACTGGGTATCGGGTGGGAGAAGGGGTGGTGTGTGCATAGGTTTTTCAGGTTCTCGTGGGGGTATGAGAACAGAAGAGTCTGAAGGCTGCTGCACTGGGTATCGGGTGCCAGAAGGGACACTGTACCCACTGGAGTTCGTTCTGCCATTGCTTGGCTCTGCTACTTTGCACGGATTACTTAAACGAATCCAGCTTGTTTTTCCTGCACGATGGAAATAATACTTTTCTGACTAAACTGTGGTGGAAACTAAGTGACTTGAAGTCAGCAAGGCTTAGCAAAGAGTCTGCAAATAATCTGTAAGCGTCCGTTTCTCTTCACTGCTCCCAGCTCTGCCATGGCTCCCTCCATCTCCCCCTCCCCCTCTCCCCTCCCTCACATATATGCAAAGTTAGCCTCGTTTTACGTTCCCTATTAAATATATCTGACTTGCGTTCTGAAGGTCCTAAAGTACCTTCCATAAGTTTATCCACCCAACAAATATGAATTAAGCACTTACTCTATTCCAGGCATTATTATGGGACTGGGGATAAATCCATGAATAAAAAGATGAAATCCCTGTGGTCATGCGACATCTAGGATAACTAAGTGTGTGCTGATGAGAATGCAGTGGGTCCTCCCCATAGAGCTGTGTCTGTCCGTTCACATTGGGCTGTCCCACTGACTAATGGGGAGACCAGTTAGGTTTCTGTACATCGGTCCATCTGTTCATCTATCCATCTATCCAGCCTCCAGCAAGTCAATTAAAATGTACTAAGAAACTCGTAGGTGTCAGACCATGATCTGTGATAAGGCATTCTGACTCTCAAAGGTGACCACAGCAACCTCTGTTTAATAAAATTCCCCTTGTGCACCCTCTATCACAATGATGCCTAAAGAGTAATTCCATCATGTATCTATTTGGGGTCAAAATGAAAATATCTCTGGTTTTCTTTAATTTCTGACTGTGTTTCCTGTTTGTTTAAAACATCAAGTACTTTTTGAAGGATTCAAACCACTTCGTGTATTCCTTCCAAAACAATAATTTGTTTTATTAAGACTGGCTTCTAGAATGGCACTAAAAAAGTATTTATTTAAGATGATGGATTTATATGCACAACCAATTGACACAGACACTAGGCTGGGGAAGGCAGGAGGGGGGTGGGAGAGGGAAGAAGGGGGACAATGGGGAAAGAAGAGGAACATCTGTAACACTTTCAACAATAAAAAATAAATTTAAAAAATAAAAATTTAGCATGATGCCCTTGAGATCCAAAAAAATAAAAATAAAGTAAAGTAAAATGATGGATTTAGGGATGGGAAAAGATCTGGGCACTCAAAGTGATTCCGTTTCAATTGATTTTGAAAACTGTTTCAAGGAATGTTGTTCTACCACTTACTTAGAAAACTAGTCTCTCATAAATACACTGTTGAGTTAGTTTATCCAGAAATTTAAAAATAGCTTGCAATATTCAACACTCCTAGCTTTCTTTTCTCTACCCAGTTCTCATAGGTACTGGTGTTCAGAGAAGCCAATGTTTTTAAGATGAGACATTTCAATTCTTTGAGCCAAAAAAGATATTTTATCGAAGTATAAAGTTCTTTGAGTCAAAATGTTTTTTCTTGTTTTATTGAGATAAAGTGCACAAAATAAAATTCACCATTTTGACTCTTTTAAAGGGTATCATTCAGTGTTTTTTTTTTTTTTTAGCATATTCATGATGTTATGCAACCATCACCACTCTCTAATTCCAGAACATCTCCATCACCCCAAAAGAAACCCTGTATTTCCTCATTCTCCCCTTTGCCATCTTCTCAGAATTGCTGATCTATTTCTGTCTCTATGGATGAGCCTGTTTGGGATTATTTCACACACGGAACCGTACCGTATGTGACTCCTCTCACTTAGCGTGGTGCGTCCAGGTTCACCCCTGCTGCAGCAGGTGTCAGCACTTCATTTCATTTCATGACCAAATGCATTGTAGGAATAGAGCACATTTTGCTTATCCAGTCCTCAGCTGATGGACATCTGGGTTGTTTCTGCTTTTGGGCTCGTATGAATAATGCTGCTGTGAATATTCACATGTAAGTTTATGTGTGAACACATATTGTCAGTTCTCTCGGTTATATTCCTAGGAGTGAAATTGCAGGGTCAGATGGTGACTCTTAATGTTTAACTTTCTGAGGAATTACCAGAATGCTTCCACACTAGTTGTATCATTTTACATACAAATATTTTTGTTTAATTTTTTCTTTATTGATTTTTAGAGAGAGAAGAAGGGAGAAGGAGAGAGAGATAGAAACATTGATGACAGAGAACATCTACTGGCTGCCTCCCACTGAGTGTTGGGCTCACAACCTGGGCATGTGCCCTGATAGGGAATCAAACCAGTGACCTCTTGGTGCATGGGTTGACGCTCAACCACTGAGCCACATCGGCTAGGTTATATACAAATATTTTATATGTATTCTCTGTCAGTGTGCAAAATATGTATTTCTATGCTAGAGGGTTCTTTTCCTAGTTTCAAGAAGTAAAAAAAAAAAAAAAGCACTCAAATGAATTTTAATTTGGATTTTCAAGATAAATAGATTAAATAGAAGAACATTCCACTTGGAGAAACAAAGCAATACTTTTTATGCTAGTGTCTTATGTTATGTGTATATATATATAGATACATCTATTTACTTCTCAAAGATATATTTGACATACAAAGAACTTGAGAATATTTTTATTTCTAAGAATAAAAGTGGATGTTTATTCACCTTAACCACCACTAAGGAAAGATTATGTTTACAAAACAAACATTGAAGTTTTCTTTCAGAAAATATTTCATCGCTATGAATAATGAAAGTGATGATTTTCCAACATTGTAATCGATACTGTGTTTTAAGAGCTATGCTATGTTTACCACGTGCAGACTTCAAACCCCGGACCTAGAGCCTCACTTATGAACCGGAGTGGCCTGGAGGAGAGGAGTCTGACTGCCTGGTGTCCGGGGCCCCGGGCGGGCTGTGCGCTACGCCGCGCACATGGAGCTAGCGAGGTGCTGTTTCAGGTGGTTCCCACCCTTGGCCACAAACTCCTGGTGAGTGACCTCAGTGCTTTTACCCAGTGATGTCTCCTCAATGTTGGTTCTATTGGTATGAATTATAGTCATGCTTCACGTGTCAAAAATCAAATCGCTCCAGCAATGTATGGATTATGCCTGCCGTTTTGCATCCTTTCTAGGATTCACATGCGTCCTCCCCACTTCCCCTGACAAGCTCCGGCAGAGAGCTTCCTGGTGGGAAGATGCTCGTGTCGAGGCCGCAGGTTCTGGCTCTTACACGCTGGGCTTGAACAGCCAAAGCTTCCTGTGTGTCCAGAGCAGCAGAGTCCCTGCAACTCGGAGAGTTAGGACAACGCATGTCACGGTTTGGTAGGCAGGATAATGACCCCCGAAAGATGTCTACATCCTAACCCATGGATGTGTCCTGTTTCGTGGCAAGGGGGACTTACGATTGACATGGAATTCAGACTGCTGATCATTACACCTTTCCTTGGGGAGCTCGTCCTGTCTTGTCAGGGTAATCACAACGGTCCTTAGAAGTAAGAGCAGGAGGCAGGAGAGTGAGTGAGGGAAGGGACGCCGTGGAGGAAGAGGTCAGAGGGGTACAGCACGAGAGGGGCCTGGCCTGCCCCCGCTGGCCTTGAAGACGGCAGGGAGCACCCGCCAGGGGGTGTGGGCAGCCTCCGGAATCCGGGCGAGGCAGGGAGACCCGTTCTCCCCTGGCACCTCCAGAAGGAACACAGCCCTGCCAACGCCTGATTTTCGCCAGCAAGACCCAGGGAGACCCATTTTGGACTTCTGACCTCCAGAACCGTAAGATCATGAACGCGTGTGTGAAACCTCTGCGTCAGGTAACGTGTCCCGGTAGCAGTGCAAAGCCAGCATGGCATGGTTAGTGACGGACAGGGACGCTGGGGGTTGAGGCGGAGAAATGTTAAATAATGGAAAATACGAAAAGCTTTGAAGCCGATGAGCACGTGTTGTGGGCAAGGAGCAGGTATTTTTCAGAAGTGCAGTCAAGGCTAACTTATTTGGAGAGGATGTGGAGGAAACTGCAAAGTAATCTTAATGTTGAACGGTTCTTTAAAGAAAGGTTATCTGTAAACACCACAGCAGCAGGAGGGGAAGGAGGGGGCAGGGGAAAGGAGGTGGTGGGACTCGGACCTGACCTCAGCCTCCCACCTCGGTGCCTCTACCTGCGACCTTTTGAGCACGTTCCTGAACATTCCCGAGTCTGTTTGCATTGGGTGAAATGTGGGGAAAATGGGTCCTGACGACAGTTTGAATGAGACTCTGTGGAGGCCCGAACTGCTGTAAGGTGTAGCCCTCCTTATTGACAAATGTCCACCCTGGCAAGGGCCCCCGTCACCAGCAACAGCTGTAAATGCTTCCTCTCGGTTTGAAACAGTGCATTACAGTGTGTAACACCTCTTCCACTTTTCTCCTCTTGATGTTGCTTCACTGAAACTGGAATGGTCACAAATGTGAACAGAAGGGTCGGGAGAAAGGGGCTTCAGTGTGGAAGCCAGGGCCTCCCCCAGGGGCGCGGCTCTGTGGATTTCCATGATGCCCACCAGCAGCTCAGCACAGGGCCAAGGCACAGAGGTGGAGAAGGAGGCTCACCCAGGGCGAGAGGGTGCAGAGAGGAGACGACTCTACCCAGAACAAGGACATTGCTGGCAGAGAAATCAGCCCAGGCTGGGCCCCTCTCCTCCCTCCCTCGGGGATGATGAGCCTGGGAGCCCCAACTCCACTGTCGTTGTTTTCAGGGTGAATATAGAAGCTCTCGGACAAATATAAGACCAAAGCAAATGATTGTGAATGTTTAGTGGTCGTCTTGTTAGTTCCAGTTCTGTGATGAACTTCACAGACCATGCAGCTGATAAGCAACAGGAGTTTATTTTTTACAGGTTAGAGGCTGGTGTCCATTAGGGTGTCAGCAGGGTTGGTGCTGGGGAGGGCGCGCTTCCGGGGTGCAGACTGATGCCCTCTCGATGTATCTTCATATGTGGGAAGAGGGTGGGAGAGCTGTCTGGGTCCCTTTTACAAGGGCTCTAACCCCATTCATGAGGACTCCACCCTCTTTACCTAATTACATCCCAAAGGCCGAATCTCATGATGCTATAATATTGGGGTCAAGACTTTGCATTGGAGGGGTACATTGTTCAGTCCATACAGTGGTCTCTTCTGGTTCATCTCTCCTCGGTTAAAATTTGTTTACAATAATGACACCACTCCAACTAGATTTCCACCTCGATGATAAGACCCCCGAACTCCCTAACTCGTCCATGGCTGTTTATGAGCACATTCACATAATCATCACACGTGCATACACGCACACACACACACACACACGACTTTTTTTTTTTACACTATTTGACTTTTTTTGTCATGTGCCTATGTTATTTATTTTTCAGATGAGAAAATAGCCTATATTATTTCCACTGCCTTCCAATCCATCTCCCATCCAGCCGGGTTTCCTTCCCTCCGCCCTCCCGCCAGCTCCCCCCGTAACGCCGCTCAGCATCCTCTGCCTCAGCGCTGTCCCTGAGCACAGCTGCCTCCTCCTTTCTCCAGCTCCCTCTCCCAGAATCATCCTCCTTCACTCATCTATCCACCCAGGCCCCACCTTCAGTGCCCCCTGGCCCCCAGCACCACGAGGACCTCACTATAGGGGTGTGAGGACTTCTTGACTGATGAATAAGGGGACAGGTAATGAAGAGAGCTAGAGAGATAACATTTATCTGGTCACTGATGACAATCAGCTGGTGACAATAACTGATTAGATACAAAGAGAAGTTTTCTAGGATTAATTCTTTTATTATTATTATTATTATTATTATTATTCGTTTGGCTTGCATGAAAAAGGACAGTTTAAATTCATCTGCATTTTTGCTTTTTTGTAGGTCACTTATACTTATTCTCTTTTCTATACAACTTGTATTTGGGGTAAGTACATTAATCAGCTCTGGTGGCCTGTTGAACATGCACTTGATTGAATGCATTATTTTTGTTATGCTTTTAAACCAGTCACTCTCTGGGATTCAGTTTTCTCACCTGTAAAATGAAGGATCAAACCAGATGAACTTTAAGGTTTCTTTTATCTTTTACAGTGAAGACTTTCCAAACTGCCTCCAAATGGTATTGGGTATTTTATTTTATTTTATAATATAATACTTTCTTAAAAACTTTTTTTGGAGAGGGCCAGGAAGCAGCTGGGCCACTTCACGATTAAATCAAGAAGTATGAGACTAAATTGGAAATTTTAACTCTGGAGCAAGATAAGCCTAGAACATTCTGTAATAAGATCTTAGAATCCAAGTTATCAAAACCCAACCTCAGACGTTTCTGGGAAATCCAGTGGGCGGCCTGTCACTCACGTTGACCTTGAGAGAGCTGGACTGGTTTATATCACTCCGGTGAGCCCTCTCCAGCTAGGATCCACCCAACTTCTGTAATGCAAGTCATCACAAGTCTCTTCAAAGCAGAGCAAATAGAAAGCGTCTCTGTGTTCTCGTCCTTCTATCCATGGGCAGCAGCCGGCGGACGTGTTCAGGAAGGAGCAGCCTTGGTTTCTGGCTCTGACAGTGACTGAGCCCTTCACCTGTCCAAGACCAGTGTTCTCTGGTTGAAGCTGGGACGACAAGACTTCCTCAGCTGACCTCACATGCACTTGAGAGCATCACCTGAAATAATAAATGCAAACACACAGAAACATGTGTGTGGATTTTTTCCCCATTTTTACTTGATATTTCTAAGTTTATTTTTGTATTCTACCCTTTTTGATTATGATGAAAGTTTACAGAGTCTTAAATTTCACTTCCTTTGTTTCTTATGTTCCATATGAGTGAATTTTTTTTCTGGGACCAAAGCTCACCCTGCCCTGGGTTCTCCTCCCAGCCTGTGTATGCCGCGATTCTAGTTCCTACAGAGAGTGATTATGATAGTGTTGGGTTTTAAAGGTAGAGGTATAAACTTCTGCAGTACCTATGGGAGACCATGTATCCTTCAGGACTTTAGGGGCACATAACTGTTGACACAGCAGTGTCTCTTTTTAGAATTTATCATACGTAGTTATACTGTTTTGTGCATAAAGATAAATGCACAATAACACTAGTTGCAGGATATTGTTTAGTAGCAAAAGAAGGGATAGCTAAATGTCCATCAGTAAGGACTGATTACGTTATACACGTTACAGGACTTTGTCTATAGCCAAATGTATTATTTTGGCATGATTTGGAAGACATCAGATTAAGTGAAAACAGCAAGGTACAGGGAAATATGCCATTTGGATTAAAATAAAACAAGACCCAAATCACCAAAAAAGTTTGGTGTGTGTGTGTATAAGTGTGTGTTGTGTGTGTGTGTATGTGTGTGTTGTGTGTGTGTGGTGTGTGTGTGTTGTGTGTGTGTGTACATATGATGATTATGTGAATGTGCTCATAAATACCTAGATACTAATTTGAGGAGATTGATTACCTCTAGGTGAGGGGATGGGAGGCAAAGATGGAAGAGAAAATATCTTTTCCTATTATTCTCTTTTACACTATTTGACTTTTTAAATCATGTGCCTATGTTATTTATTTTTCAAATGAGAAAATAGAGGTACAAATGTAGGACAGATTACTAATATAGAAATTAATAACTTATTTTCTTAAACTTTCTATGCAATAAATATTTGTTTAAAAATATCTGTGATAACAGATAATGACTTTTTCTCTTTGAAGAAGAATAACATTGGTTTTTAAAAATGTCAGTGTATGCCCAGTGAATACGATGTATGCTTTGAATGTTCACTTGTTTGAGGTAGTTTTTTTCTGTTAATGGGTTCCTACAGTCTATTTCTGCAGATTCTTCTTCCCCTGTACCTCTCTCCTCCTCTTTTTTAATCCTCACCCGAGGACACTTCTGCATTTATCTTCAGACAGAACGGGAGGGAGAGAGGGAGGAAGAGAGAGAGAGAAACATCAACGTGAGAGAGACACATCGAATGACTTCCACCCACACAACCCCAGCAGGGGCCGGGGACAAACTTCAACCAAGGTACGTGCCCTTAGCGGGAACCGAACCCGGGACTCTCCAGTCTGCGGGCCGACACTCTAACTGCTGAGCCAAACCGGCCAGGGCTCCTCCTTTTAAAATGATGTTTATTGGTGTATGTCTGCTGCAGAAGAGCTTCACAGAGACTAAAATCCCCTGTTGCTTTTTTCTTATATTAGTCCAAATCAAAGTTTGATAGGCAAATATTTCTATTTCTTTACTAGAATCTGTTGATCTATTTTAAACCGATTCTTCTCTCAAATGTAATTTTGTTACAAACATCTCAGTGATACAATTAAGTAAAAAAAAAACAACAACAGTAAAATAACAAACTGGCCTTTATTATCAGCCGTCTGATCAACAGGCCCTCCTTTCTCCCTGGTTGTTTTGATATTTCTCGGAACACACAGTAATGAACCAACCTCGAATGAACCCAAGTGTTCAGACTATTATTCTAAGTGCTCCCCTGCTGTGCTGACCTGGCCCTGGCCTTTACTTACTTATTTATGTATTTTTACCTTATCAGGGTTTGGACTACACGTTTCTGCATCACAGATAACAATGTTACTCAGAACTCAAGGGGCATCTGTCTCTGAAACTTCAAATACTTTTTTTAAACTTAAATGATCTCATTGCCTGGCTCTGGTCAAAGGTTAGATTCTTATATACTTCCAGTGACCCAATACCAGTTTTGATTATAAGAGTCTTTATATTAATGCTTAATGTGAAGATATTTTCTTTTAGATTGTTTCCGAGCATATTTTTCCTGAAAAAGAGAGAGAGAGAGAGAGAGAGGTTTAAATTATGTGATGGAAAAGGAAAAAAAAGACAAAAACCATGCTGGATAGACTCCTTTCCCTTCCAGATACATATTTATGTACATATGTACATATTCACATATACACCCATATATTCACATATACATCATATATTCACATATACACCCATATATTCACATATACATCATATATTCACATATACACCCATATATTCACATATACACCCATATATTCACATATACATCATATATTCACATATACACCCATATATTCACATATACATCATATATTCACATATACACCCATATATTCACATATACACCCATATATTCACATACATACCTATGTACTACATCACTAAGAATATATACATATACATACATATATATAAATATATATTAGTTTACATATATATTGGTTTAACTGTTTTATGTTTCCCCATTATACATTGATCTAAAGGCTTAAGTTTACAGCCTTGAGTTGAAAAAGATCTATCAGTTATAGAAAGGTGTGGGTGCCCAGTCAGTGCGGCTCAGTGGTTGAACATTGACCCCTGCACCAAGAGGTCGCTGGTTCGATTCCCGGTCAGGGCACATGCCCAGGTTGTGGGCCCGATCTCCAGTGGGGGGCATGCAGGAGGCGGCCAATAGATGTTTTCTCTCATCGATGTTTCTAGCTCTTTCTCCCTCTCCCTTCCTCTCTCTCTAAAATCAATAACAACAAAATAATTTTTTTAAAGAAATGTGTGGGTGCACACCCCTCTGCTGTGAGCGCTGGGCCAGCCGCAGCGTGCCTTCCCCGGTGCCCGCAGCTCTGAGCGCCTGGCACCTCGCCTGCCCCATGGCGCCGGGCTGGGCCGAACGCTCGATCTCCTTGTCACGGCATCATGGAAGCTGTTTGTCACCGAGGAGTCTACTCATGGAAACAGCTCTCTGGGACTGTGTTTTTGTATTGACGTGATGGATGACTCTAGATACAGGTGACGAGGATTTGTGAGAACAAGGGACTAATTTTTCCCAAGTGTGTGCGTGCGTTTGGAGGAAGCATTAAAGTTAAGAATGTACGTGAGCGTGGAGTGGCTCTTTAAAGAGAAGAAAAGTCAGCTAGAGTGGGGAAAGGGCCCGGATGATTCAAGTTCAGTAGCTTTCCGGTTGGGAGACACGTGAGAGGAACCATCGTGGTGCATCAGCAAAGTGTAGGAAGGACAATTTTAACCCCGAGTGCAAGCTGTTCCCAGAGCGTTGACCTAGAGGGACTCGGTGAGGGAGACACGCCCTCGCTGATCTTGGAGGTAAAACAAAAGGGTGTTGGAAAAAAGCCAAACTTATCATTTCAATTAGACACCACTGTGCACCTGTGGTTTTCCCAACGACGTCATTTACCTTCTAAGATCATTCACAATTTGGTGAACAAAACTTTCCAGGAGAGAGAAAGCAGAACGGCCTTTGCAAACCCCAGCTGATGGATCCTGGCTCCCACAGACTTTCACTCTTGCTCACAAAACCATCAACCCCCTTTATTATGAAGCCACAAGGTGAAGTCTTTGCCTTTTTGGATCTCACTGCTAGTCCCTTCTTTTCACAGACTGAGAGGTGAAAGTAGACTGTGGACTGCTCATGCGTTGGGCCAGCCCTGTGTGCATCATGTACGCAAAGGGATGGGTTCTGTGTACTGAGTCGGATGCTTCCCCTTCCAGAGTGCAAAGAAGTTCACCCCTTGTGGAGGACGAGATTGCTCCGTCTGCCTGTGCTTTCCGGAAAAGGGGTCCCGGGTAAGTGATCGACACCAACATGGACACTGGGGGGCGGCGGGGGGACACTGATGAGAGGCCATAAGGTGTCAGTCACGCAAGGTGAATAAGCTCAGACATCTGCTCTAGCATATTCCGCCCACAGCCAACAGTCATGTTCCCTGAAGGTTTGTTGAGAGGATTCATCTCCTGTTAAGTGTTCTTACCACAATAAAAATTTTTAAAAATCAACGCAGACAGCGTACTGAATTTTGAGCCATTGGGAATATTTAGCAGAAAGTAGTCCCAGCCTCTGAGCACGTTCTGGTAGTCAACAATGATTACGTCTTTGATTATCAAAGTGCTGTGCATTCTGATAAGCAATCCCAGCTGCATTAGACCATGCGTCAGGCTTAGCAGATGCTGGGACGCAGTGATTCACCCAGTGTTTTATACACTAGTTTTGTGAATCGCCACATGCGGAAAAGGTCGTGTTGCAGATCAGCCTTTTAAAGGCTCTGAGAAGGACTGCAGTGAGCTGCTTCTTCTTCTTCTTCTTCTTCTTCTTCTTCTTCTTCTTCTTCTTCTTCTTCTTGTCTATTTAACTTTGTTTAAACTAGTGTTTCCAGACATTGGACCCCAAGACTCCTTTTTGGATAACACCTTTAGGAACCCTGTGGAACAGAGGTCTGTCATCAAAGCAATAGCGGCGTTTCTCACGTATTTCTCGCGTGCTTGGTACTGTTCTGTGTGCTCCCTGACTCCTCACAACAACTTCCTCACCATCTTATTGGACTGACTTTTCAGTGAAAGACCAAGGCACAGAGCCATTCATTGTCTTGCTCAAGTCCACCCAGTTTGGTGCTTTTGACGAGGGCACTAGATTCTCTGGCCGTCAACGCTCAAGAACCCTCTTGGTCACTGTATGTCGGGTCCCTTGAACATTCACAAAACTCTCCCTTACGTTGTGACCGCAGCAGCTGGCAGCCCACTGCCTCATCTGTGCTGGAGAATTAGCTCAAACAATTCTTTTGATTAAAAACACTCCCACAACCTTACAGGGAAGGAGTATGTTTCAGAAGCTTTGGACAGATTTGGGGCCAGAGCAATGATTTTGTGGGGCTGTGCATGACACCCTGAAGCCACAATTCAGCAAAGATCAGTCCATAGGGACCAAAACGCTCACTACCCGAGAGAAGGGTGTGTGTCTCCCACAGCATCTGTCTATCTTTCCTTGTAGGTGTACCATGCGAATGGGGTTCCTTTGTCCAGCTCTTGTCCTGCGAACAGCTGACATGTTGAGTTTGGGGGCAAATTCCCTTCTTTTAAGCTACTTAGTTCATTCTTCAGTACTTCAAAAATTTCAGTGATCAGAATTTATCTTGAGCTTTTGCAAGCCACTTTATGATATCATTTTAATTTTTCCATTACAGTTGACATACAATAAGTATTGTATCAGTGTCAGGTGTACAGCATAATAGTTAGACATTTATATAGCTTGCAAAACGATCGCCCCAATAAGTCTACTACCCATCCGACACTATATATAGTTATTACAATATTATTGACTATATTCCTTATGCTGTAGTTTACATCCTCCTAGCTATTTTTATAATGGGCATTTTGTACTTCATGAGATAATTTAAAAACCAAAGGTACAAACCTCCAGTTATAACGTAAGTCCTGGGGTTGTCATTACGGCACAGTGACTATAGTTATGAACACAGCATTCTACATTGCAAAGTTGCTAAGGAGGGAGACCTTCAGAGGTCTCATCATGAGAAAAAATTGGTAGCTCTGTGTGGTGATGACTGTTAACTAGACTCATTGTGCTGATTAGTTTTGCAATATATACAAATATCAAATTATTGCGTACACCTGGAACCAACATCATATTATATGTCAACTATTTCTCAATTTTTAAAAAAGTAGGACACTAAAAACTAGCAAGCTAAGAAATGTTTTAGCCCTTTCTATGTAAATATACACATTATTCTGGGGGGGAGGGGGCTGGCTTTTGTGTGCGGCTGTTAATATAAACATATTAAGATTGTAGAAAGGAAAAAGAAAAGTCTAGATTTGGAAAAGAAAGGAAAAAAAGTGCATCTAGATTTGAAGACTCTTTGAGCTTGACACCCCAGAAACACGGGTTGATCAGCTCTGTGGCGGAAAGGGGATGGGGTACCACCCAATGAAGAACAGTTGCCTGGATAAAGCCATCTTTGGTTGCCTCCTCTGATTTAAATGAGGCTGGGAGTTGTTTTCGCAGGGACATTTGGTGATGTCTAGAGACATTTTGGTTGTCATAACTGGACGGAGGAGGTGCTACTGGTTCTAGGGGTGCTGCTCGGCACCCAACCACACACAGGACAGCCCCACTCCAAAGACTTATCTGTCCCCAAATGCCTGCCGTGCCAAAGTGGAGGGACCGTGCCCCAATCCTACAACAGCGTGCGAGGCTGCTATAATTATTATTTCCATCTGTGAATACAAGGAACGGACTTTCCAAGAGTTTTCAGTAACTTGCTGGTATGTGGAAGGAGCAGGAAGCACCCCAGTGTCCGACGTCCACGCCGGCGTTTGTCCCAGGATCAAAGAGAAGATGATTACACAGAGGTTCAGACACCAGCGTTAGTCATAACTTTGTGAACCCGGGTGGTCACTTCAGTTTGCCCAAGGCTTGGTTTTTCATATTCGCAGCACGGCCCTCTCTCCTGTTTCCTTGGGCTGTTCAACAGTCACGTGTCCTTGTCCGTGCAGAGGGTACCCTTTGTGTCCGACAGCACAGTCATAGGCCAGGGTGAGGAGGGCTGCACTCTGCTGTCCACGTCCCTGAGGCTGGGTGGTCAGGGATTGCTGTGTGCGGAACACCGGTCAACCTCCGCCCTTCCCGAGACAGACGGTCCCGTGGGAAGGCGGCGAGTTGCTGGGGACGTCTGCCGGCCGGGAATCTGGGAGGTGTTTTGGGAGGTGGGTTCTCCCAAGTCCTCAGCAGCCGACCAACCTGCATAGCATCTCTTGAGCAGAACTGACAGTTCAAGGTGGACTGTAAAAAGAGGAATATACCGAATTCCGGAGGTGTGAGCATCCGTGCAAGGAAGCACAGCCTGTTAGCAGCATAGCCAGCATTCCTAGGAAAGAAATTATGTGCTCCCATGGCTCAGTGCCCGACGGCCTGGTCTGTTCAACCTCCAAATCAAAAGCGTTGTCGGAGGCCAGGTTGCCCTTGCCCTGGAATGACCGAGGTTGGGGTGTCCCCTGGGCATTGAAGCTAGAGTTTGATGCGGAGCTGGTCCGAATCCAAGGGCAGCTCCTCCAGTGCCAGCAGAATGAAGTTCAGTGTCACCGATGTACGGCTGGAGGCCCAATCCAGCCTCAATAAATGTTTGCAGCAATGATCACTGTTACTTCCCCGTGACCCTCTCCAACTACATCATCCTGGTCCCTCCCTCTCCCTCGAACATTATCCGAATATTCCCACTTCTCTACTCTTTTCTGGAGTGCCTTTCCATTTCCAGGCTGTGTCTGGCTCCTCCGCCACCGGAACTCAGTGGGCACCCCACCCCCCACACAAGCCTCCTGCCTGGTCCAGCCGGTGAGGATGCTCCCCGGTGGGAAGCCGGTTTCCTTCCGTGGCACTTCTCATACCCTGACTGGAGCTCTGTGGTTTGACCGTGATGTGCCCCACCCTCTGGATTAGATCGTAAGCACATACTTCATAAGATGATCATGTGGACACAGTAAATGCTATGCTGGCCCCTGGCCCACTGTGGACACTGTGGGAACACAAGTTGCCTACTTTTGTTTCTCCCCTTTTGAGAACCAAGGGGTGATTTTTGGGTGCTTCTTTGAGATGATCACAGCGGATGGCACCTAACAGGTAGTTAATATACATACACCAGTACATTGAAATTCACACTCCAGCCTGGACAGGGTTTGGGGCCCCGAGCTGGTGGCCAGGCTGCAGCGTGCGGATGGGACACCAGCCAGGTCTAAGAGAAGGGGAACGGACTTAGCGGGGAGCATTTCCCTAGTCCTCCCCACCCCACAGCATTTCAATCTGTTATTACGTGATGCATCGCACATAGTCCGAATTGCCGTGTGAATTTCAGGGGGGGCAGTGGTGAACCCTCGGAGCAGTGGCAACAGACATGACCACAGACACTTGGACCTCCAACGGGTGCATAGCGTCCCAGAGAAACACGAGTCTGAGGTATGGACTGGGCCTTAACCCTACAGTCTCTTTCGGCCCAGAGCCCTCAGCTGGGAAACAAGGGTTTGTACCCGCAGGTCCTGCCGCGTGGGGTGCTGTGAACGGGCCTGGCTCCCCATCCACCACGGCCGCTTCGTCGCCTTCCCCAAATCTCTTGGGACTGTCATAATATTCCCCTGAACTTCATGACCATCCCTCTTCAAGGATGTGATGAGGTGGATTGGGCAGAATTTTAAAGTATTCGCCGCCAGTTCCAAGGAAGGTTACCTCCAAGTTTTTGATGGTTGTCTCCTCGCAGGGAAACGGCATGTCGTTTGCATTCATCTTCAGATAGAGCGGGAGGGAGAGAAGGAGGGAGAGAGAGAGAGAAACATCCATGTGAGAGAGACACATCAATCGGCTGCCACCTGCACAACCCCAACCGGGGCCGGGGACGAACTGCAACCAAGGCACGTGCCCTTAGCGGGAACTGAACCCGGGACTCCCCGGCCCGCGGGCTGACGCTGTAACCGCTGAGCCAAACCAGCCAGGGCGAGGATGGGGTCTTTTATGAGCTCTGCTTTAGTGGCTGGCATGATACTAAAGACACCTTCTATAGTTATTTTTTTCTAGAATAAAATATATCCATATTGTTTTCCACTCAAAAAAAGTACAGAGACTGTTAAATCAACACAACTTCATAACTTAGTGGTTTTATAGACAAGGAGATGAAATGGCTTAGAACTCAAGAACTGTCTTAGTTATTTTTGGTCTGAAGACGAAAATCACACATGAACAATCCCGTTTTCCCTGTGGGAATTTCAAATCACTGAAAAATGTACAAGTATTT